AGATAGATAGATAGATAGATAGATAGATAGATAGATAGATAGATAGAAGATAGATAGTAGATACATATATACATACATAGAACTTGAAGTTGTATGGGTAGAGGGGCAAAGGAGTTAGAATATGATCAAAATATAATTTATGAAATTCTCAAAGAACTGATTAAAAATATTATATCATAAAACCTCCAAGAATCTAAGCAAGAGATATGAGTGAGTGAGCAGTATAGAGATGCAGCAGACTGAAATCCAAGTCCTAATCTAAACTGAGTAGTTAACTTCAGCTCCACTTACAATACAGTTTAAAATAACTAACAAAACAGGATTTAACTGATAAAAATTTTAAATTACTGTTAAATTCCTTGATGGTCATATTGGAGCCAGCAAGCAAATAATTACAGCTGAGCTTCTCTTACAAAAATGGGGAGAATCTCATTTGTATCAATTCAGTCTTTCGTGTCAGTTAATTTGAGCTATTCGAATTATACCTCCACAATCCACCTTTGGTGAACACAGCCACCAGAGGCTAACATACCTTTCCGTTACCCAGAACCGTGATAGCGCCATTGTATGTTGCCTCGTCTGTACCATTTCTGGTCCCCAGGGCATCCATGTCTAATGCTATGCTCTGCTGTCTTAGTGAATGCAGAAAGTTATCGATGCTTGAGCCTACCATGAAGGCAAATCAAAGGAAGCAAAGATAAGTCAATTAGTACAAAAACCAACAAAATAATTAAAAGACATACCTCAAGGCATGTCATTATGGCCTGCAGATAGCCATAAAAGGCTGAGTACAAAAATCCATTATGTTAATCATGTGTGTGATAAAGATTCTTTACATACAGTCTAAACTTTATTAGTATTTCTAGTATTATATAATGTCTAGGAGTATAACTCGATAGTGGAACACTTCCTAGAATGCATGAAACCCTGGGTTCAAAACCCAGCAGCACAAAAAATAAAAATAAAAACAAAACTACAATTAACCAACCAGCGGTATGATCTTTGATGTTGTTGGTTTTGATCTTCTTATGAATTTGGAGAATTTTGTTCTCAGAGCCCAGCAATATAGGAATTGATATAGCCCAGAATGATTGGGTAAGATCTCAAAGATCAGCCAATGCTCTGCTTTTTCTAAGACCTCTCTGGTTGTTTTGGCAAAAGCCCTAGCATTCACATAAACTTCAACAAATGTGTTTCTAAAACAAACTCTACATTTGTGGGGAGGGGTTTGTAATTAACTTTCTGTTTGGCCTCACAAACGTTTTCTAAAATAAACAGAAACTATTTTTTTTGCTCCTATTTGCTCTGCCCTGCCCCCCCCAAAAAAGTGTGCTTGGATGTTTACCCGTTTTATTGATGATGAGCAAGTGGGTCAGAGGATCCTGTGGCTGCTGTCCTGGTGAGAGGAAATACATACTTGGAGACAGTCCCCACGCGTAGCTTTTGTGGTAGAGCTCGTAGGCTAGATATTCCAAAAGTTGGGGGAGGATGCTAATGCCAAAAAGCAATGACCTATGTGGGGGAAACAAATATTAGAACAGTAATAATTAATAACCTACAGCAACTTTTGTGAGATTCTAGGTTTCAGTAGATTATGGATAGCTGCCAAAACCCAGGCATAGGGGATGCTCAAATCATGTTGCTTCCTCCTTCTTCCTTCTAAAATGCAATGGCATAGCATTACCTACTCCTGCTTGCGACATTTCACGTGGGCTTTCCAAGTCGCTGATTCTCACTCCTTGATTTATGTTTTAGAAAGGGTATCATGTCGTCCAGGAAGGCCCTGAATTCGCTCTGTAACTGAGAATGACCTCAGCCTTTGTCAGAGAAGCCCCCTCCTTGCAAATGACAAATGGTGACTGCAGAGACTCATAGCTTCACAGGATGTGGGCCCAGCCCCAAACAAGTCACTGACAGCACCTCCTCTAACACTTGGGGAACATTGTAGGAGAGGGAGCCAGAAGTAGGTAAGAACCAGAAGATGATGTAAAGGAGTATAAAACGTAGGTTCTGGGGTACGTCCTTAAGTGTGACTATGAACTCAGACACCTGGGTTACCCTGGTCTTGGACAGGAGCCTACTTGACTGTGAAGCAGAGCATATTTCCTCTTAATAAGCACGTCGCCTCAGGTATTTTATTACAGTAATAGAAAGATGATACAAGTATATGTCTCATTTATTTTAACATATGTGCAAACATTAAACAAGAGGATTGTGTGCAGGAGTGCTTGGGAAACCTTCTGAGTGCAGAATTAGGTTTGGCCCTGGAGGCAGCACTTATCAATGCGGTAAGTTTGTTACAACAGGCACTAGATGCCGTTGGGAAGTTAAATGAGAGACACGCAGAGCCTGGTACCCAGCCTGTGGCAGGATGCTGACAATAACCTGAGTTTCGGGATGCTGATCTGTCTTAGGAATTTCAGTTTCCGAGCCACATGGTAGTGAAAGCAATTCCTTAAAATAATTCCTATCATCCATTTATCTATCTTTGTATCTATCTGTCTACCTAACTATGTATCATCATCTATGTATCTATGTATCTATCTATCAATCATCTATGTATCTATGTATCTGTATAACTACATATAATCTGCCTCTCACCCTCTACCCTTCTTCTCACATAATACTATGGAAAGTGCTAGGAGATTCTGGTGTCTTGGGAAAACTGAGAATGAGGTCTTTGGTAAGGACAAAATCTGTGTGCAATTAAAATAATCCCAAACTTTATATTTTTTTTATTACATATCTCAAGGACAGGTCCTCACCCCCCCCACACACACACACCTCAAGACAGGGTTTCTCTGTGCAGCCTTGGCTGTCCTGGATTCGTTTTGCAAACCAGGCTGGCCTTAAACTCCGCCTGCCTCTCGATTCCCCAAATGCCGGGATTACAGGCATGCTAAAGGCAGGTATTTTAAATAAAACGCAATAACTGTAATTTATTCTGTTTTTCACATTGTGCTCTCAGCCATCCAGAGACTAGGTACTCACAGGGTCACCAGGCTTTTCCTTTCGTTCTTGAGTGTGAGGAAGCGAACCTTTGCAATTGCACAGAGCTGCTGCCTCCACAGCGCCATGCCGCTCACTGTGCTTCCTGCTGGATCTAGGGACAACACTCGCTCCAGCTCAACAGGGCTTCCCACATCTTCTGGCCCATCGCTCTGTAACGGCCCAGCAATTCCAGCATCTGAAACATGCGATCAGTCACCTATAAGATGCCAATTTCTTGTGCACTGCTTAACTTTCCTCACAACCATTTACTCAACAGCAAGTTCCAGCTTCAGTGTTGGGAGCAAATATGCAATCTAATCCATGGTTATATTACATGGCAGCTGCTGAGGAAATGGAAAAGAAGCAAAACTATTTGAAAGAATAAAAGAGAAATATTGTAATTTTTTAAAAGGCATGTGCAGATTTCTATGACAGATTCTAGGAAACACATAAAAATAAAACTATACAGACATGTCCTTGTGGCAAGAGATAAATTACCTTAGTGTTTCTGGCCAAGGTGACAAAGCTAACACATACAGAGGCCCTTCCTGCCCTTCAAGAACGTAAAGATGGTAGACAAAAAATTTTATACGGCCATATTTTAAAATCTAGATAGATAAAACTACACTTCTTTTTAACAGAAACCTAGGACAAATAAAATTTCTAGAAACTTATAAAATCTTTACAAGCTAAGGACTGGGTAAGAGGCAGTGGTACAGCCCTTGCCTAACATAATACTGAAAAATAAAAGTGTGCAGCCGAGTGTAGTGGTACCTGTCTTTAATCCCAGCACTCGGTGGGCAGAGCCAACCAGATCTCTGTGAGTTCAAGGCCAGCTTGATCTAGAAAGCAAGCTCCAGGACAGCCAGAGCTACTCAGGGACACTCTCAAAAATAAATGAATAAATTAATTGATTTTAAAAAGCATACACACTAACCTATGTACCAAATATGAAACGAAAAGAGGAAAAAATGCATTGACTAAGATGCTTGGCTGATACATAAAGAGTCAAAGGCAACAGGATGAAATATAAAGGCGGATAAAAAGCCAACCCAGTAAGATTAATATGCACAACAAAGAACTGTCTCAGAGACCGTCATTAAGAAAGAGCTTCCCAAGGACTGACAGACTGACAGCAGGCCATAGGGCAGCAGCAATGGGATCCTGAAAGCACCGGAATAAAAGTCCAAAAAGAGTAATTTCCAACATTGTTTCTAAGTTTCTCTCCCCCACAGCTTCTTACGTTCAGATAACATGACACTTCATAATTATCGTCTATTCTATGAGGACCTAGAATGGTACGCTGTCATCTTCTATACATCTGTATTTCTCATTTATTTCAAGTTTTCTCAAGGCTGGTGCCAACACAGTCATGCATATCATCATCTCATTCAAAGCTCCCTTCCATACCTGATTCATCAGTCACTGCCTTCCCTTCTAATTTCAGGAATACCTCATTCAGCGTTGTTATGGAAACACCATAATTCTCAATGCCTTGGTCAGAACACCTATCAAGATCCCTGTAAAGGTCTGAAAATAAGAACAAAAGCAATTGGGTTACCTCACTCAGGGTGATCTTTTCTAGTTCCCACCATTTGCCTGAAAATTTCATGATTTCCTTGTTTTTAATTGATGAGTAATATTCCATTCTGTAAATAAACCACACTTTCTGTTTCCCTTCCTCAGTTGAGGGACATCTAGGTTGTTTCCATGTTCTGGCTATTACAAATACAGCTGCTATGAAAATGGTTGGGCAAATGTCTTTACTGAACGGTGGGGCATCTTTTATGTATATGCCCAGGAGTGATATAGCTGGATCTTAAGGTAGCACTATTCCTAATTTTCTGAGAAAGCACCGGATTGATTTCCAAAGTGGTTGTAAAAGGTTAAACTCCCCACCAGCAATGGAGGAGGGTTCCCCTTTCTCCACACCCTCTCCAGCATGCATCATCTCTTGAGTTTTTGATCTTAGCCATTCTGATGGATAATGAGGTGGAATCTCAGTCGTTTTGATTTGCATTTCCTGGATGACTAAGGATGTTAAGCATTTTTTTAAGTGTTTTTCTGCCTTTAGATATTCCTCTGTTGAGAATTCTTTGTTTATCTCTGTACCCCATTTTTTAATTGGATTACTTATAGGCTGCTCAGTTTCCAAGTGGGTTTCCTAGTAAGGGGAACAGGGGCTGTCTTTGACATGAACTCAGTGGCTGGCTCTTTGACCACCTCCCCCTGGGAGGTGCAGCCTTACCAGTTCATAGAGGAAGTGATGCAGTCAGTCCTGATGAAACCTGATAGACTATGGTCAGCTAGAAGGGGAGGAGGTTCTCCCCTATCAGTGGACTAGGGGAGGGGCATAGGAGAGAAGAGGGAGGGGAAGGTGGGACTGGGAGGAGATGAGGCAGGGGTTACAGCAGGGATACAAAGTGAATAAATTAAGATAGATAGATAGATAGATAGATAGATAGATAGATAGATAGATAGACAGACAAAAGAACAAAAGCATATTACCATATAACTTATAGTGAGGTAGATAATGATATCTTTCAAAATGAGAAAATATTGATCACAAGCTACACGTACTTTTATCATAAACTTATATCAGTGTTCACATACTTGTAAAAACCTATCCATAGACTATATTAGTTTCCATGGGTTTCTTCAGCATCGAGGTACAACATCAACATTTATGCTTCTATATTTAAAAAACTACTCGGTTTTTTAAAAATTGATTGTTGTGTTTAAATTTTTTAATTCCAGAGGTTGGAGAGACAATTCAGTAGTTAACAATACTCGCTGCTCTTGAAGAGGCCTCAGGTTCTGTTCCCAGCACCCACACGACAGCTCACAGACACTTGTAACTCCAGGTCTGGGGGATCTGATACCCTCTTCCGGCTTCTAGGAGCAACACGCATGCACATGGTACACAGATATGCATGGAGGTGAAACATTCATATGCACATGAAGAATGTATTGTTTTTCTCTCAAGTTATTAGTGGCGTATGTGTGAATGTGCGTGTGAGTGTGCATATGTGTGTGTCTGTGCGCATGTGCGTGTGTCACCATATAGGGCCAAAAGACACCTCCTGCAGCTGTAGCAACAGGTAGTTGTGAGCTGCTTAGTATGGGTGCAAGGAAGTGAACTTGGGTCCCCTGGAGGAGCAACAAGCGCGCTAACCCCTTTCATTCCGTGTTCAATGCTCTTGTGAGGGTGCTTCATTCTAAACTTTGATTAAAGAATAATAGCGAGAGAATAAATATTTATTATTTTAGGTTAGGGTTAGTTAAGAAACCATAATGACAAATGCAAAGACACTGATGTTTATAAAGAAATAAGTGATTTCCGTGGACTCTGTGTGAAAAGTACAAATTAGGAAAAGGACAGAGTAGACTGAATGTATAGTATGCCTTTGTGTTTTCCCTGGAAGACATTCAATCTGTTTATATGCTCTCTCTTCCTACTCCTCCTATCCCCTTTTCTCTCCTTCCCTCACTCCCTTCTTTCCTCCTTTTCCTTCTAAATGTGCTTTGAGAATTACAAAAAAGTACTGAAATAGGGTCCATCCATGTAAAAGATTAGCAGGCCATTTTAAGAGTGTTTAAGTGATTCTGATAACTGAAGTTATCATAATTATATGCTAAGGCAAAATAAGTGAGTTTCTTAAATCCACTTTCCACTCTTCATTTAAATAATTCGGTACTTCAGAATTCATTTTAAGAGATGGTCAAGTAAACCGTACTGTTCAATCTTCGTGAAGATTTCATCTTCAGAATGATGATGTATCTCAAATGCGTCACGTGTACGTCTAAGACTAAAACTGCATCCCTGTTTCCAAGATGAGTTCATTTCTTCCCTTTTTAAATATATGAAATTTTACTTATCATTTGAGGATTCCATACATGTACACAATGGATTTCAATCATATTTACTGCCCAGCTCTCTGCTCCAACTCTTCCCAACTACATGCGGTACTCCTATTGTGTCTACTATTATGACGAAATGATCCTTAAAAGAAAGAACACTGCCATTTCTGGTATTCTGACTTAAGGATGGATCATGACTTCAAACGACAGCACCTATTCTCTTTGCCCTCTGGTGGCACATCCTGCTTCCTGGTATCTCGGAGGCGGGGAAACAACAAAGCAACCACATCAACCGTGTCAAACATGGTCCCTTCATGCACTGTTGATGTTTAACATTTTAACAATAGGTTTAAGCATTTTGCATGACCATTTAGCTATCTGAACAAACTCACAAAGCTTCCTGCTACCATGTAACTTGTTCAGGATTACCTGGAAATTTGTTTGTCCTCTCCAGGGGCAAGATATAGACCAGTTTTTCTTCACTTTGTGCAGTCAGTCTGGCATCAGGAATGTGCTTTTTGACCAGTGATGTTATAGTCTCTGGATCACATGTTTCATTCAGATGCAAACTAACATTAAGAAAGAGTAAGATAAAGTCATTTTTGTCTAGCACTGTCTCTAAGAACAACTTATTATGTAGTATATGTTTGTTGCTTCATGAATATTCATGAGACAAAAAATGTGTATTTTATAGAGAGGAACTAGATGCATTGATACTAATATCATCCAACCTTAATCTGTGCAACATAGCAGAGGCAGTAGTAAAAGGGAAGATAAGACTCATTTCAGATAATTCAAGGACAATCATTTGAAAAACGACAACAAAATCACCCAATCCTGGCGGGGGTAAAGTAAATGGGAATACTTGCTACATCTCCATCTAGTAGGAAAACCCAATTATGAATTCTCCTTTTTCAGTAATACATGAGCTCTGCAAACACTTGAACTTGGTGAAAGCAAGATGGAGATAGTCTGTACGGTCATTTAGAACATAGTATTGACATCATATCATGTGGGTCCCAGAGCCCAGGTGAGCCAGTCACCGTCTCTGAGGATCAGAATTCTCATCTATGAGAAAAAGAAAAATGCAGCTCTAAAATCATCCTCCACAGATGGAGTGACTCAGTATTTGTGAGATGGTGCTTTGTCTTTCATGAAGGAAACTCTCAATACACGCTAGACAATCACTTTGTCTATGTATTTTCATAATAGCTGAAGTCTTTAATATTAGTATATGTACTTCTTCTTTACAAAATTTGGGGGTTTTGAAACACCTTTGTTGGTCATATCCACTGAAATGTACTCAGGTGACAGAGTGACCTAACGTGACATCACCCTTGACCAGTTACATACACCTGAAGTTAGTTTGAAAACTGTGCTTTAAAAATGCTGTACCTAGCACCTATCAAAGATTTTAAGTAGAAGAAATTCAGTCCCTTTCCTAAAAAAGCTTACAGGAGAACAATAATACAAGAGGAACTAAAAAAAAAAAAAAAAGTAAGAAGGAAGCTTTGTTAATTCTCTTAAGTATTTTGTACCCTGTCAAGTATTCTTACCATTACCATTACAAAAAATAAAGCTATTATTATTGTTGTTTTGGAAATGAAATTATTGAATACCAAAGAATTAAGTTTATTGGCAACAATTTGAATTAGTGCTTTCTAGATTCCATCACAGAGGATACCCATTAAGGAGAAAACATTGAGAAACAGCCTCCAAGAGATGGCTCTGCAGTTAAGAGCAGTTGTTGCTCTTACAGGAGGATGTGGGTTTGGTCCTGAGCATCCTTACCTGCTCACTCACAGCCACCTATAACTGTAGGCTCTGGGTATCTGGTGCCCTACTCTGGCCTGTGTGCACCCGTACGCATATGCACATGCCCACACACACAAACACACACAGACATATGTGGGTAAGGTTTGTTCGTGGTTGAGTGGGATGAAGGAGGATGGAACATAAGGCAGAAATGAGACAGCTACGAAGACCTGCACAGACACTCACCGAGAGAGCAATGAGTAGCACCTTTTAATTGGAGAGAAATTATTTAAGCCCCTTGTAACACTGGATAACGCTGACACTGTAGATTTGATGATTTAAGAAATCAAAGAAAGTAATAGTTGTATCTAATGAACCTCTAGAATGATGTGATTTTTTTTTTGTAAAGATCCACAATAATCATGTGATTATTCTGAGGAAGGTAAGAAAAATAAAGTCAGGGAGAACAGGAAGTATATTGAAATTATCTGGATGAACAGAAATATACTCTGAACTAAGATGAAAGGAAGATAAAGATATCAATAAATTACTCTCAGAAGGCAACATATTATGAAAACATTTTGCAAGCATTCTCTTTACACCTACTTTTGATGCTTAGATTTTCAGTGTCTATGATCCTATGTATGTACCTCATGTTCTTGCTAAGGGCATGTGTAAGTCAGTTCTCGCATGTCTACTGAAGACAACTTTAGAGCTCTAGCTCTGTCTTGACCTAACACTGACGGCCCCTGTCACCAGTGTGTTCATCATGCGTCTGCCTCCCACACGGCGAGCTGTACCTTAGATGATAGCCAAGGCCCCATTTCTTCTTCAGGAATAGGGAGGAGCCTGCACACCTCAGTCTCCCATTGGATATAAACACCTTCCTGTCTAGTTGGGAAGAACCAAAGATACACTGTATTAGTGATTTCTTCAGTGTCAATAGATGTGAAAATCAATATCCATGAGCAATTAATGTTTTAGAAGCAAGCCATACTAGACTAGTGACATAGTAACTCTGACTTTCTTAGTACGCTGATAACTGAAATGATGAATTAGCTTTGCTTACTCTCTGGATATTTAGGGAAGTTATTCAGCAGTGTCTTTGAAGCCCACTGACGTCTGTCGACATGGAATAAAGCATGTTTGAGACAGTATTGTATGTTTTACAGCCTTCACTTCCCTGTGATGGGATCATAATGCGTCCATGGGACAAATCGCTCTATCTTGAACACTGAGATTTAAATTAAATTGATGAGCATAAGTCTCCTCTGTTGGTTGTGGTTGTCCCTAGTGAGCTATGTCTAAGGGACCTGTTTGTCATTTATATTAAGTCCAACTTTCTCACCGTGAATCACAAAAGAAAACTGTAGTTACCAGCCAGGATATCAGCCTCTTCCATGAACTGAGTGCTAACCACAATTACTCTGTCTCGCTTCCTCTCTTTAAGTAGGGTCCATATGCGATGCCTTGAAAGTGGATCCAACCCAGCGGTTGGTTCATCGAGTAGCAAAACCTGAACAGTAGAGAAGGTGACAGAGTCATTTGTTGCTCTGGGATAAGATTATTCTAAAAAAAAAAAAAAACAAAAAAAAAAACACTGTAGGTGTAAAAGTGTTAGCATTTGTGCTTAAAAGTTTTCTTAAGGGGGGCGGAGCCAAGATGGCGACTAGCACACACAGTTTTCGAGCTGTGGAAGAGATAAACTTCTGAGTTGATGAGTGGAAGAACTTCTGAAGCCAGGGAAACAACGGAGAGACTTTCTAAACAACAGGGAACATCGCAGGAGGTGAAAACCTTGGTCTCGGGTCACCCAGGGACTTGTTTGGGGAAGGTGAGAAACGATCCTTTGATCTCTCGGCACTCCCCTCCCCCAGACCTCCCTCCTCCTCGGCACAGCGGACTCGCCTTTCTCAGCGCAGACCTAACTGCCTGGGGCCTGCAGCCACTGAGGCTGAGCCCCAAGCCCTTTATCGGCAAAGGCCAGCAGTACTGTGTCTCGGAGCCCCAGATTCATGCGCGGCGGCTGCACCATCCTCCCAGGGCCCGAGTCTGCTAGACGCCATACTAGCTCTGCAGGAGCGCCATCACTGACTGTACGGCCCGCCCAATCCCACAGTGACAGAGAATACGCTATATACTCACCAAAACCAGACAGAAACGCCATACAAGCTAGACACACCAGGCGCTGGGCCTCTGAAGCTTGGAGAGCACAGTAAAGAGACCCCAGGACTTCCCAGAAAGCATCTGGACTAGCAACCCAGTTTCCAGTTACAGCGGGACTTTCTAACCTGGCGGTGGAGCAGCACTGAGCTGGCGGGGCACATCAGCCCTCCAGTTTAAGACTAACCAGGGCCAAACCAGAGAACAGAAAGGCTGGTTACCCCGATTCCCACTGACGTGACCACCCTGAAATCTCCAGCTGCAGCAAGACCTCATAACCTGGCAGTGACAGCAGCACGAAACTGGCGGAGCACATCAAAGAAGCAGGGCCAAACCAGAGAGCAGAGAGCTCAGATACGCCGATCTCTGCCAAGTGTCCTGACTGTAAGTGAGTGCACCCTTGAGAATCTGCAGCTCCACTGATCCTGGGTTCTTCTAAAACAGAAGCCAGGCATCGAACCCCCTCCCACCCATATACCCACTTTGGGAAACAGAGGGGCACTTGGAACATTGAAGTTCCTGCTCTGTGGGTCTAATTGAGGAGTTAAGGCAGTTAATGCCAGAAATTGCGCTGCGATCATCACTAGCGCCTGCGACATATACATTGCAGAGCCCCTCCCACGCACTCAAGGGTTCAACATTAGCCATCACTCTGTCCCTCGAGACACACGCCCACACCCACTTACACACACACACACATATACACACGCACGCACGCACGCTTGCATTTACCTCTGTTTGCGCCTGCGTACTTTCCTCCCACAGGTACAGCTAGTCCTCAGCATACGCTAAGGACATGGGACCTCTCTCAACTTCCTGAAGAATTCTCCAGACTCGAGAGAGAGACAGTACCAGTCTGATCGGCAGAATCCAAAAACAAACAGGGAAGGTCTCAGATAAGCCAATGGCCAGGGGTAGGCGAAAGAACACTTCCAACATAAATCAGGACATCATGACTTCACCAGCAAACCCCAAAATCGATGGATACTCCAATTCATCAGAAGCACAGGAAAATGACCTTAAAGCCATGCTTGCTCAATTATTTGAGGCTCATAAGGAGGAAATGAACAAATCTTTCAAAGAGTTGGCCAGTCAATTGGAGGTAAAGAAAGAAGAAATAGACAAAACCCTTAAAGAAACACAGGCAAACATAGCCAAACAAATAGAGGCACAAGTAGAGAAAAAATTAGTGGCATACAAAAAAGAAATGAAAAAAGAAATAGAGTCCATCGTAGAGAGACAGGAATCCAAATTCAAACACATAAAAGAAATGGTGCAAGGCATGAAAACAGAATTAGAATCAATAAAGAAAACACAAAATGAGAAAACTCTTGAGCTGGAGAACTTGGAGAAAAGATCAGGAACCACAAAAGTAAGCATCACCAACAGAATACAAGAGATGGAAGAGAGAATCTCTGGAGCTGAAGACACACTTGCAGAAATTGATACTTCTCTCAAAGAAAAAGTAAAATCAGAAAAATTCCAATCACAAAATATCCAAGAAATCAAGGATGCTATGAAAAGACAAAATCTAAGAATAATAGGAATTGATGAAAAAGAAGACTCCAGGCTCCAAGGTCCAGAAAATATTTTCAAAAAAATCATAGAAGAAAATTTTTCCAACTTAAAGAAAGAGATGTCCATAAATATGCAAGAGGCCTACAGAACACCAAATAGACTAGACCAGAAAAGAAACACATCACGTCACATCATAGTCAAAACACTAAATCTACAGAACAAAGAAAAGATATTAAAAGCAGCAAGGGAAAAAGGCCAAGTAACATCTGAAGGTAGACCTATCAGAATCACACCAGACTTCTCATCAGAAACTATGAAAGCCAGAAGGGCCTGGGCAAGTATCATGGAGACTCTAAGAGATCACAAATGTCAACCCAGACTATTATACCCTGCAAAGCTTTCAATCAACATAGATGGAGAAAACAAAATATTCCATGACAAAACTAAATTTACGCAATATCTATACAGCAAACCAACCCTACAGAAGATACTAGAAGGAAAACTCCAATCCAACGAAAACGAATTCACCCAAGAAAACAGGGCATACAGATAATGTCCCAACAAAAATGAAAAGAAAACAAGCAATGAAACAAGGTAAGATCATCGACTCCATTACAAAAGGAACTAACATGCATTGGTCAATATTATCTATCAATATTAATGGACTCAACTCACCAATAAAAAGACACAGGCTAACAGAATGGTTACGGAAACAGGACCCAACATTCTGTTGCATCCAAGAAACACACCTATGCAACAAAGATAAACACTACCTCAGAGTAAAGGGCTGGAAAACTGTTTTTCAAGCAAATGGTTCCAGAAAACAAGCTGGAGTAGCCATCCTAATATCTAATAAAATAGACTTTCAACCCAAGTTAATCAAAAAAGATAAGGAGGGCCACTATATTCTCATCAAAGGAAAAATCCAACAAGAGGACATCACAATTTTGAATATCTATGCCCCAAATACAAGAGCACCTACATTCGTAAATGAAACAATATTAAAGCTTAAATCATACATTGATCCTAATACCTTAATAGTGGGAGACTTCAACACCCCACTCTCATCAAGGGACAGATCAACCAGACAGACACCAAATAGGGAAATAAAAGCACTCACAGAATCCCTAAATCAAATGGACCTAATAGATGTCTACAGATCTTTTCACCCAAACTCAAAAGAGTATACCTTCTTTTCAGCACCACATGGAACCTTCTCCAAAATAGACCATATATTTGGTCACAAAGCAAGCCTCAACAGATACAAAAGGATTGAAATAATCTCTTGTATACTATCTGACCACCATGGACTAAAGCTGGACATCAACAACAACAGAAACAACAAAAAGCCGACACGCACATGGAAACTGAACAACTTACTACTCAATGACAGCTGGGTCAAGGAAGAAATAAAGAAAGAAATTAAAGACTTTCTAGAATTCAATGAAAATGAAGGCACAACATACCCAAATTTATGGGACACATTGAAAGCAGTGCTCAGAGGAAAATTTATAGCACTAAGTGCCTACAAGAAGAAATCCGTAACATCACATACAAACAACTTAATGGCCCAACTGAAAAACCTAGAAAAAAAAGAAGCAGATACACCCAAGAGGAGCAGACGGCTGGAAATAATCAAACTAAGGGCAGAAATCAATCAATTAGAAACAAATAAAATTATCCAAAGAATCAATGAAACAAAAAGCTGGTTCTTTGAGAAAATCAACAAGATAGACAAACCCTTAGCCAAACTAACTAAAAAGCAGAGAGAAACCATACAAATCAGCAAAATCAGAAAGGAAAATGGGGACATAACTACAGACACTGAGGAAATCCAAATGATTATTAGGTCATACTACAAAAGCCTATATGGCACAAAATTTGAAAATCTAAATGAAATGGATAACTTTCTTGACAGATTCCATCTACCAAAATTAAGTCAAGATCAGGTAGAAAGACTGAATAGTCCTATATCTCCCAAGGAAATTGAAGCAGTCATTAACAGTCTCCCCTCCAAAAAAAGCCTGGGACCAGATGGCTTCAGCACAGAATTCTACAAGACCTTCAAAGAAGTACTAACACCAATTCTCCTCAAACTATTCCATAAAATAGAAACAGAAGGAACACTACCAAACTCATTCTATGATGCTTAAACCACACAAAGATCCAACAAAAAGAGAGAACTTCAGACCTATCTCTCTTATGAACATTGATGCAAAAATACTCAATAAAATACTTGCAAACCGAATCCAAGAACACATCAAAGATATCATCCACCATGACCAAGTTGGCTTCATCCCAGGAATGCAAGGGTGGTTCAACATACGGAAATCCATCAATGTAATCCACCACATAAACAAAATGAAGGAGAAAAACCACATGATCATCTCCTTAGATGCTGAAAAAGCATTTGACAAAGTCCAGCACCCATTTATGTTTAAAGTCTTGGAGAAATCAGGGATACAAGGCACATACCTAAAGATAGTAAAGGCAATATACAGCAAGCCTATAGCCAACATCAAACTCAATGGAGAGAAACTTAAATCAATCCCACTGAAATCAGGGACAAGACAAGGCTGCCCACTCTCTCCATATCTCTTTAACATTGTACTTGAAGTCCTAGCCAGAGCAATAAGACAACTAAAGGAGATCAAGGGGATACAAATCGGAAAGGAAGAGGTCAAAGTGTCACTATTTGCAGATGATATGATAGTATACATGAGCGAACCCAAAGATTCAACCAGAGAACTTCTTCAGCTGATAAATACCTTCAGCAAAGTGGCAGGATACAAAATCAACTCAAAAAAATCAGAAGCCCTCTTGTATACCAAAGACAAAAAGGCTGAGAAAGAAATTAGGGAAACAACACCCTTCACAATAGCCACTAATAACATAAAGTACCTTGGTGTGACTATAACCAAGCAAGTGAAAGACCTGTATGAGAAAAACTTCAAGTCTTTGAAGAAAGAAATTGAAGAAGATCTCAGAAGATGGAAAGATCTCCCGTGCTCATGGATTGGTAGGATTAACATTGTGAAAATGGCCATCCTGCCAAAAGCAATCTACAGATTCAATGCAATTCCCATCAAAATACCAACTCAATTCTTTACAGACCTTGAAAAAAAGATTCTCAGCTTCATATGGAGAAACAAAAAACCCAGAATCTCCAAAACAATCCTGTACAACAACAGATCATCTGGAGGTATCTCCATTCCCGATCTCAAGCTGTACTACAGGGCAACAGTAATAAAAACTGCATGGTATTGGCATAGCAACAGAAAGGAGGATCAATGGAATCGCATAGAAGACCCAGAAATAAACCCACACACCTATGAATACTCAATATTTGACAAAGAAGCCAAATCCATTCAATGGAAAAAAGACAGCATCTTCAACAAATGGTGCTGGACCAACTGGATGTCTACATGCAGAAAAATGAAAATAGATCCATATCTATCACCCTGCACAAAACTAAAGTCCAAGTGGATCAAGGACCTCAACATAAAACCAGATACTCTAAATCAGCTGGAAAAAAAAAGTGGGAAACAGCCTAGAACTCATTGGCACAGGAGACAACTTCCTGAACAGAACACCAACAGCACAGGCTCTCAGAGCAACAATCAATAAATGGGACCTCATGAAACTGAAAAGCTTCTGTAAAGCAAAAGACACTGTCATCAAAACAAATAGACAGCCTACAGATTGGGAAAGAATCTTCACCAACCCTTTATCTGACAGAGGGCTAATATCAAGTATATATAAAGAACTAAAGAAGCAGAAAAGCAACAAACCAAGTAATCTACTTAAAAAATGGGGAACAGAGCTAAACAGAGAATTCTCGAAAGAGGAACGTCGAATGGCAGAGAAACACTTAAAGAAATGCTCAACCTCATTAGCCATTAGGGAAATGCAAATCAAAACGACCCTGAGATTTCACCTTACACCCATCAGAATGGCCAAGATGAAAAACTCAAGTGATAGCACATGCTGGAGAGGTTGTGGAGAAAAGGGAACCCTCCTCCATTGCTGGTGGGAATGTAAACTGGTTCAACCACTCTGGAAGTCAATCTGGCGCTTTCTCAGACAACTAGGAGTAGTGCTACCTCAAGACCCAGCTATACCACTCCTAGGTATATACCCAAAATTTGCTCAAGTACACAACAAGGACATTTGTTCAACCATGTTCGTAGCAGCTTTATTTGTAATAGCCAGAACTTGGAAACAACCCAGATGTCCATCAACGGAGGAATGGATACAGAAATTGTGGTATTTTTACACAAGGAATACTACTCAGCAATCAAAAAGGAGGAAATCATGAAATTTGCAGGCAAGTGGTGGGCTCTAGAAAAGATCATTCTGAGTGAAGTATCCCAGAAGGAGAAAGACAAACTTGGTATATACTCGCTTATATAGACCTACAAGACATGATAAACATAATGAAATCTACACACCTAAAGAAGATAATCAAGAAAGTGGACACAGGCGAAGGTGATTAATCCTCATTTAGAAAGACAAATGGGATGTGCATTGAACTTATGACAGGAGTCTACCACAAAAGGCATCTGAAAGACTCTACCTAGCAGTGTTTCAAAGCAGACACTAAGACTCATAACCAAACCCTCGGCAGAGTGCAGGGAATCATATGAAAGAAGGGAAGTTAGTTTGATATGGAAAGGATAGGAGCTCTACAAGGACCAAATATATCTGGGCACAGGGTCTTCTCCGAGACTGACACTCAACCAAGGACCATCCATGGATATAACCTTGAACTTCTGCTCGGATGTGGCCTGTGGTAGCTCAGTAACCAAGTAGTTTTCCAAAGTAAGGGGAACACAGACTATTTCTAACAGGATCTCAAGGGCAGGCTGTTTGATACCCCCCCCCAGGGGAGGAGCAGTCTGTTAGGCCACAGAGGAGGACTTTGCAGCCAGCCCTGAAGATACCTGATAAAACAGGGTCAGATGAAAGGGGAGGAGGTCCTCCCCTATCAGGGGACTTGGAAAGGGGCAGGGAGGAGACCAGGGAGGGAGTGTGGGGTTGGGGAGGGAATGAGGGAGTGGGATACAGCTGGGACACAGAGTTAACAAAATGTAACTAAAAAGAAAAATAAAAAAAATAGTAATCAAAAAAAAAAGTTTTCTTAAATTTACCATTTGAGAATTTACCCAATATAATTGTTTCTGAGTTTCTACTGTGATTCCATGAGTGATTTTTCATTTCCCTTACCTGAGGGTCTCCTAAAATGGCAATCCCAAAAGTCAGTTTTCTTTTTTGTCCACCGCTTAAATTCTGAGCGAGGCTGTCTTGAATATTTTCCATTTCTAAGTCCTGTAAGACCTGTTGTACCTAAAAAAATAAGGAACGTTTAGTCTAAAACCTAAAACTTTTTTTGTTTTGTTTTGTTTTGTTTTGTTTTTGAGACTAAGTCTCTCAATTGTAGTCCAGGCTGGCTTGAACTTCAGCAATATTCCTGCCTCGGCCTTCCACATGCTAGGCTTACAGGCATGATACACCATGGCTACTTTACCTTGTGCCCGACTTTAGATGATGAATGTGTACCAACAATGCGAGCACATCAAAATTTTATAGGTACCAATCTCGCTTCCATTGTTACAGGACAGTGGATGTGCTCATTACCTGTTGCTCCACTTCATGGGGCAGAATTCCCTTTATTTTAGCAAAAAGCCTGAGATTTTCTCTGACGGTGAGAAAACCAAACTGTACGTTGGACTGTGGACAGACTCCAGTGATCTCGGTGATGGCATCAGAGGCACCCGTCTCTGAGATTGTGTGCTTATAGATGGTGACAGAACCTGTGCAGGGAAAGTCAAGATTTATCAGGACGAGAAGTGTGAACTATTCCAATCACACGACTCACTCATGAATGTTTTGCCCATTTGCAACACACGGTGAGGAAAGTGTTTGTTATGCATGAGAACTGGGGTTCAGATCTCCAGCACTATGTAAAACTTGAGTGTGTGTGTGTGTGTGTGTGTGTGTGTGTGTAAGAGAGAGACAGACAGACAGACAGCATACACCTGTAATCTTAGTTCTGGGAGGTCAGGTGGAAACAGGAAGACCCCTTGATCTCATTGACCACCCAGATAACTTCATGTTAAGTGCAAAACCTTGCCTCAAATAATCTGGTGGAGGCAATATGGAGACTAAAAAGTTCCAGCTTGGATGGGAAAGGAGTTTCCAATGCCCCACCTCAAGCTGAGAAGCTAATGTCTTCTGAGATGGGTGGGGTACTTTGCTTTGTGTGTGAAGGGCACAGCCATTGGTAAGGTGCCTATGTCCCAGAGGATGAACACAGAGAGAGAGAGATTCAATATTAGAATAATATTCTAATCTGGCAGAAACGTCAATTAATAACTTAATAGTTACAAGTTACTTATATCCAGCACATTTCACAAATGTACACAATTATATAAAAATAAAGAAAACTTCTCAAATTTTTCTTCAGATGACATATGAAAACATAAAAATAGAATCTGCTGTTGGGGAAACATGTCATATAATTCAACACCTGCATACATTGCAAAATGTTTAAGAAAAATTCTAAATTCTTTTGTCTTAATGACATCATGCCCCAAGTTGAGTAGTGAAAGGCACAGATGACTTATTTGCCCTTGAGCTTGTCTTTGGATATGTGTCCTCTTACCTGTAGTTGGGGGTGACAGTCCACTGAGTGTATTTATCAAAGTGGTTTTCCCAGCTCCACTGTGACCAAGGAGAGCAGTGATCTGGCCTTCATATATGTCAAAACCCAGACCTGGCATGATTTCAAAGATATTACATTCAGTACTTGCATATTTTATACTCTCCACAGTTTATAATTTCTCGCTACCTAGGTGTGTGTGGGTGCTAACTTTCAAAATAAAATCAACCTTAAAATTTGTCCAGCTGTCTGTAATATCTCATCTTTATGAAGTTTTACAAGTCTCTAAATCAAACACCTATGTTAAATGTAATTTTATTTTATTACCTCTTAATGCTTCTACTTTTCCATGCTTTCCTGTATATTCCTTTTTAAGATTTTTGATCCTGAAAAAAAAAAAAGGTTTGAGTAAATTTCAGAGTTTAGGGAGGGTCAGATAAAAACCTGGAGGTTCCTTATTTTTCACAGGCACTTTCAGTAACATCCTGGGCATGCCATGAGTAGCAGCAACTCCGACCATTGAACCTCAGCAGAACAAAAGTGGAGGGAGTAGGTAGCCTGTATATACATGCAGCCATATGTTCAGATTGTGACAAATGACTGGAGATGAAAGTTGGAGATAAATTCAATGGTGGGAGATCCCATGATGTGGGTGAAGGAAGTCACATCATATCAAAAAGACTTGAGCTTTGGAGTCAAAACACTCGTAAGTGAAGTCCGTCTGTATCATTTACACAGCTCCAGTACAAACACAGAACTCACAGAGTGCAAGTCTTCAATAATAAAGCAAGAATAACAACAATAATTATCTCATAGGGTTGATTTCCTAAGAAAACAGGAATTGCAAGAACCCAGGACACTTGAAGTTTTGAGAGAAGAGAAAAGGAGAATAAAATGATGAGATGGTTGTAGAAGTCCATAGAAGTGAGCATGTTGACACAACCCCCAAATCCCAGTACTTGGAACTGAGACAGGAAGTGCAGAAGTCTGTGGCCAGCCTGGGATACATCTTGAATCCCAGGCCAGGCTGGCTTACAAAATGTGATACTGTCTTAAAGAAAAAGGAAAAAAAGTATACAGAAGACTTTCAATGAGTTGAAGGTCTATTATGCTGCAGACCCTGGGCAGTCTACTTACATTAATTTTTTTTTTTTATAACAGCAAAGCAAAACATCAGGTGGGCTGTAGACAGAATCTGAGCAAAGATAAGGATCTTTGAGCTGTGTAACGGGAAGTCAAAGCATTGATGGCAGCACGTATTTCTGGGGTAGGGGGTGCAGAGGATTAGTGCCTTGCGGTTGTGTCATCTCCACCTTTTTGGGATGTCTCTAGTCTCCTTTCTGTATAACTTATGTTTTTGTTGTTACTGTTGTTGTTTTGTTTTTTACATCTTATCCACCAAGGAGAAGAATGAAAAGAAACAAAATGGATTATACAGAAAGAGGGTGAGAATGGGGGAGAAATGATAGCACTGTCTATCACCAAAAGAACATTCAAGCAAAGTATGAAGAAGAAACACAAGGATGATGATGAGGAAAGTGGAAAGCAAAGTGCTTATTTGTTGATAGTTGTTATTGTACCAAAAGATATTAAGTATAAATGCGGAAGGAGGGATAAAAGACCACGCTATCGAGAGTAAGAGTATCATGCTGTAAGAACAGTGGGCTGGGAGGATGTGGGTACAGAGAGAATAAGGAAATCATCGTCCATCAGTACCTCGCCCGGTAGGGGTCGCATCTGGGGTCTGTTCTCCATCGCACTTCCATGGGATTTATTTCTTACCTGATGGCTTCTTTCCCATGGAATTCTGGAGACACTGGTTCAAAGGAGTCATTCAGTGAAGGATCGGGATCTGTTTCATTCTCAAGGACCACACGATTAGCTCCTCTGTGTTGACACCAATGAGACGACTTCAGGAAAAACAATGGAGAATGCTGATGCCCATACTTACCTACATAGACAGGAGGCGAGTAAGCATCAGGTCAGTTACCAGCTACTTCAGGGATTGCCTTCCATTTTGATCAGCACACCAATGCAACCTCTATGATTCTCAACCTGAGCCCATATTATCACCTTAAGTAATACCACCTAATATGGTATTTCTAATATGAAAAAAAAATGCAGTATTGTAAACTAAAGGAAAAAGACTTTAAGGCAGAGGGTCTTATTCAAGAGGAACTTAAACATTATATTAAGACCAAAATAAATAGATAAATGTGGATTAAATAACTTTATGCTTGAATATGAGGACTCTGATACACAGGAGTAACTTTCAATAATATAACAATAATATAAACAAGAAATATTTCTCGGCTCTAAAAAAAATTTAGATTTGCAGGTAAACAGATGAAACTTGAAAAAAAATTATACTGAGTGAGGTAACTCAAACCCATAAAGACAATAATGTGCTATGTTCTTTCTCATATGTAGAACCTCACTTCAATAATTTTGTTTCTTGTGTTTAACATGGAGCAAAACCGAAGCCAAGAAACTAGAAAGGGGTGGGGTTTGGGAAAATATTCAGGGAGGAGAATAGAAGATTAGAGGTTGAATGTGAGTGGTGAAATAGAATACCAAGGAAGAAAGACTTGTGCAGGGATGGTCACTATGATTAGGGGAGGGATGGAGTGAAGTGGGGCGAACCCAAAAGAAGGGGGTAAGAAAGGCCACATAGAAATCTGCTCTCTCACAACCCAACTTAAAAGCGATATAAGTAGAAGAACAGTAGCACACGTGTAAAATGAAAGAACAGTGTAGTGAGAGTTAAAGGATTGCAAGGGGACAGTATGGAAGACTGAACAGAATGGGTAGCACACATGTAAAATGAAAGAAGAGGAGTGTACTGAAGGTTAAAGGATTGAAAGGGGATAGGTATAAGAAAATGGGGAGAGGAGGGAGCAATGCGTGAGTTAACCAAAAGTATGGATTTAAGAAAGGGCCTTATGGAAACCCATTGCTTAGTAAGATAGTTCCAGAAGTTAAAAATGGAATTACCATGCATGGGTGGACAATGTCACTCAGAGAAGACACGGGTTATTAAATGAAAATTGCAATACAAGGCATAAGACAGCTCCCTGTGAGGAGTTGGCCAGAGAAGCCTGAGAGATTATAAAGTGGAGGGCATTGCCATTGTTTTTTGTTTTTGATACCCACCCTAACTATATGGTAAGACCTTATTGCCTAAAACATCACATATGTTGGCTAAAGAACATAGGAAAATTAGTATACAGCTACTTGGGAAGCTTCCTTCCTACTGGTCAGCTTCTATAGTGCCAGAAAATACAGTGCAGGTTTCCAGGGAGGAGAAAAGGCATCTAAAGTCTCACTCAGCACTGGACCATGTGTGTTACAACGCTAACAATCCGAGCAAAATGCACCTGCTGCAACGGTGGCAGAGTTGTTAGAGGGGAGAATAACTTCTTTATGATTGGACTTGAAGACTGCTCCACAGGAGTAAGTTTGATACCTGGTACTCCCATGGCTTGGGAGTTCATGGGCCCTAAGGAAGATCTTGCTATTGTTATTTTGCTAAATGGCCATGCTTTCAAATTACCTTCTAAATACTTATGTTTATAACCATTGTCTTAGTTAGGGTTTCAATTGCTGTGGTACCATGACCAAAAGTAATTTGGGGAGTAAAGAGTTTATTTCAACTTACAGCTTATAAGTTCACCACTGAGGGAAGTCAAGGCAATAACTGAAGCAAGGCAGGAACCTAGAGACGGAAACTGAAGTGGAGGCCATGGAAGAGTGATGCCTATTAGCTTTCTTCCTATGGCTTGGTAAACCTGCTTTCTTATATAACTCAAGTCTGCCAGCCCAAGGATAACACTGCCCATAAAATATCAAACTGATATAAATCTAGTCAGCATACCCATAAGTCCGGGCTGTTCTCAGCTTTCATCATAAAGGTTTCTTTTTGCAGTGGATAGCAGTCAATGAAAGTACAGAATGTTATCTATTATTTTAGAAAATTTAAAAAGAAAACTGCTATACCATGTATAGTCAATACACTGTAGACCAGAAGTTCTCAACCTGTGAATCACAATCTCTTTGCAGGTTGAACAACCCTTTCACAGGGATCACCCAAGACCACTGGAAATATCAGATATTTACATTATGATTCATAACAGTAACCAAAGTACCAAAGTTACAAAGTAGCAACAAAATAATTATATCATTGGGGGTTGCCACCACATGAGGGACTGTATTAAACAGTTGCAGTGTTAAAATGATTGAGAACCACTCTTATAGATAATTAATTTAAGTAAAATAAAAGTAATAAAAATGTCTGAAATGGTAATAATTCTACTACTTACTGAGTAAAATTTTGTCAAAATACAATGCCAGTACCAAATAGAGAAGAGCATCCAAAACCAACATGAAAAAGGTGGCTATGATTAGGTATGAGTTGTTTGGAGAATCCAAATTAACATTAAAGTTCACATCATAATCCAAATGTATAAGCTGAAAGAGAAATGCATAGAATTTTTTAAAGACTTAATATGATTTGAAGAATTGTTATGGTCTTGGTTCTGCTAGACACCAAAGGAGATAAATGAGACACAATTCATATCTCTATATATCTCAGTCCTATTGCTGTTCATAGTAGCTGCTTATCTAACTATAAAATACGGGTGATGGTTAGGTGAAACGCCCCAAGAGGATGGTACTTGTGAAATATCTAATACAAAAATTCATGAGGATTAAAAGGAATAAAGAGGGAAGATGTTCTTCTTTGGGGCACTCCTTTTCAGAGTGAAAAAAAATGGAGCAATGAAAGTCTTTAAGTAGTTGGGCAAAAAAGAAAACAATAGTTTCAATGACATACAATGATTTCACATGAATTAACTTTTCTGAGAGGAGATTTAATTTCATTTGGAAATATCTGTAGTGATAGTTTTGGTTTCTTAAAAAACCCAGTTAGTATGTTTTTGTTTTAATTGCAGGTGTGGGGTAAAATGCTGCTTCACAGCAGGTGATTATGATTTATCTGGTGCACTATCAGGGGAGTGATTTTGCCAGCTGAGGTGAGTTGACATTAGTAATTCTTAGAACTTTTCAGAGGGGATAGATGCCAGAATCTAGAGAGGTTCTGGGGTGCTCTGAAGAAGTAGGAGACTGCTGCTCCCCCTGATGCTCCTAGTTGCTGTTGTGGTTTGACAAGTTGAAGATATTCTGACAAAGAAGACTGGACTTGCCCCTAGGAATCCAACGACACTAAACACCAAGAAGTTGTCTATAAAGGTCTGTGCCCTTTTTCCATCCTAACCTTCTTTATCCCCTACCTGGTGCTGGGGGATTGGAAGGAATTAGGGTGGAATAAGGGCTGAAATGGAGGTAGAGGTATAAAAACCCAAATAAAGTAGCGAAAAAACAAACAAACAAAACCCACTGCCTACAAATGTACAATTAAATTAATTTTTTTTCAAATTCTCAGTTTTCCATTATTTGTGATACTATTAAGACTCATGTTTCTCAAACTTAAATCAAACAAATGTTAGATATATAGGCTGATCCATATCAACCATCAAACGTCACTCTACATTTAGAACAGTAAACTAACAACAACAAAAATCTCAGTCCCTGCATGAGAAAGCCCTTTTCTAGTTGTTGTCTATGGGAGTCTAAGAGAATCCCCAAACAATACAGGCTACTGTTGTTGTCTCACAGAGGTTGGAGATAAGTCCCTATTGCTAAAAACAACTTGCACTTTATACATGGGGCTCAGAGGATTTGATCTAAATCTGACTTGGAAGTAACCTCCCTTAGGACTGTTTTTTTCATAGTACTGGACCACCACGGTATACAAGCTGCCAAGGGATGAAAGCAACTAAGAGTCTTGCCCGGCTGTGATGCCTACTAGACACAACAATGACCAACATGGCAAAAACAATCCTAAGGGTGTATTAGTGACACTCATATTTTGGTGTTAACCAACAGTTCTGTAACTGAACTAAAACCTTACTCAATAAGAGAAGAATTCATGCCTGGTACCACTGCCACAATTTCTAACTGCATTCTAAATGCTGATCCTTACGCCAACTGTGAAGTGAAGCTCTCACTTCTCATCAAAGATGCTCTTCTTTGCAACAAACACAAACCATTGTAGAAAACTACAATTGGTCAAAGTGTAAAGAACAACTGATTGTGAGGATCTCAGCTGATATGGGTGCACATACAACACAAGTCCTGTACCTAAAGCTCAGGAAATAGAAGACAGGGGAGAAATATTTTAAGAGCCAGAGGAATGGGAAAACTGCTGTGAGGTGTGTGTCCTAGAAATGGCAAGGAAAGGACACACCTTATATCTCAACAATGTGCCAAAATAAGACCTGAAAAAGGATAAACTGATGGACATGCTAATGTGGAAGAGGGAAATCTCACACAGCCCCACCCCTAGTCAAAGAACTACAGGCAACTAAGAACAATGAGAGACAAAGAATTAGTCTTCCCAAAGGATGAGTCCCCTAATTGGTTATCCCATATCGAAAGGTCAGCCTTGATACACACAAGTAACACTAAAAAGATTGTGTGTCTCTACATATTTATAAATCTCTCTTTCTCTCTCTGTGTGTATGTGTGTGTGTGAGAGAGAGAGAGATAGAATAATAATTAGAGAAAAAGAGATCATGAATTTGAAAGAAAGTGGTACAGATGTGGAGGGATGAACTGAAAAGGATGACAGGAAGAAAGCAAAATGGGGAAATTATAGGTTTATTGTAATCTGGACTTCTGCTGTTTTGTGGGTTCTTCTTTCTCTCTTCCACCCTTCTCCACCTCTATGCTTTTTCCTTCCAACCCCTAACACTAGATAGGAGAGAAACTCACTGTTATTGTTAGACCACTTCCTGCTGACTACAGGCGTCAAATTCCTTACACTACCTAATTTTTCCCCTTTTTCTGCCTTTGCACATGACTACTTGACAAACTGAAACCATCTGCAACCAACAGCATCCAACCACCAACTGGCCCTCCCCTATTGGGACTCTAACATTCATATATCCTCTGAAAAGTTCCCAGAATTACAAATGTCACACACTCACAGAAACTACCTGCAGCTGGCAAACCACACCCCTGCTAGTGTTGAGGCAAACCATAGTCAGCTGATGTGAAGCAATCCCACATCCCCACACTGTGATTAAAGCTAAAAACATATTCCCATAATATTTCTGTGTTTTTTAAAGAAATCAGAACCCTTGCTCAGATGTAGCCCAATGGCAGCTTAGTATCCAAGTGGGTTCCCTAGTAAGGGCAAGAGGGATTGTCTAAGACATGAACTCAGTAGCTGGCTCTTTGACCTCCCCCTGAGGGAGGAACAGCCTTGCTAGGCCATAGAGAAGGACATTGCAGCCAGTCCTGAAGATACCTGATAAGCTACCATTAGATGGAAGGGGAAGAGGACCTCCCCTATCAGTGGACTTGGAGAGAGGAATGGGAGGAGATGAGAGAGAGAATGAGGAAGGGGGCTACAGCTGAGATACAAAACAAATAAAATGTAATTAATGTAAAAAATAAAAATTTAATTAAAAAATTCTCACCGCAGATTGTAATTTAAAAAAAAAAAATAGCTCAGTGGTGGTGGCACACTCCTTTATTCCCAAAACTCAGGAGGAAGAGGCAGGTGGATCTCTGAGTGCAAAGCCAGCCAGGTGTACATGGGTAGTTCCAGGACAGCCATGGCTACAGAGAAAAAAATTTTTTGAAAAACCAAAAATGAAAAGTCAAAAAAAAATCTAAAAGTGAAATTTAAAAGTAACTAAATATGCTGAGAGAGAAAAATAAAAATTACTCTTATCCCTTAAACTTCTATATTTATAAAAATGGGGCAGAAACTTCAGTGTTTAGTGTATATTGTATAAATCATTGAAGGGATCTGTCTAGAGTATTGTATACAAAAATAAAATTGTGGAACAGCAAAGACAGCTCAGCTGTAAAAGTGCCTCGGTTTGATCCCCATAGCCCACATAGCAGAAGAAGAGAACTGGCATCTGCCAAGCTGTCCTCTGATCTACATGCGAATATCATCATGGCATGCTTGTGCATGTGCACATACACACACACACATACGTAGACAGAGAGAGAGAGAGAGAGAGATGAGTTTTACTAAAATAAAACAAACTGATTACCTTTATTCTTACCTGGGCCATTCCAGTAGTAAAGGCAAATGGACTAAGAAAGCACAAGGTCCATTCCATAAAGGCAGGAAGATGTTTGTATAATGCTGTGAATCCCAGACTCCCCCAGAAGACGGTAAGGAGGAAGACAGCCAAGCCAGTGAGAAACGGTTTCTTTAACAACACACTCATGAGAAAGGCTAAAGTTATCTGAGATGAGAAAAAAATGATATGGTAGTCTGAGAATCATCGCTAGCACATGAAAAGGAATCTCATATTTGGATGCGTGTCAGCCAGAGGCTCATATATTAAAGTCTACAGCCTGATGTATACTGAGAGGTGGTAGAATCTTTAGCTAGGACATTGTGGAAATTTTCCTGTCGTTGGGTGTTTATCCTTGAAGCAGATTCTGAAAGCCTAGCCTCTTCCTCTTTTTGACATGCTGGCCACAATGTGATCAGCTTTGATCTACCAGCCAGACACAGGCCAAAGCAACAGGGTCAACCAACCCTGGCCTGAGACCTTCAAAACTATGAGAAACAAAAACAGACAAAAACCCTTTTCTTCTTGTTCATTGATTATCTCAGGCATTTCTTAAGGGAACTAAATGACCAACACAGTATTTGGAGAGTGTATCTCATCATTTTTCAATCAGGTACTATATGGAAAGCGCCTTGTGCAAATTCTGCAAATTCTGCACAAAACAGAAAAGGCAGAAACACATTTGGTGACACGGTTTGAGGGAGGGAAAGAAGGAGGTAGGGGGAAAGGGGAGGGAGTGGAGGAGGTGGGGAGGAGGGAATTCAACTTACCAAAGACAGGCCATAAAGGAGAAAAAGAAGGAACACCACCATGAAACCAGTTAAGACAACCACTTGGGCAGATTTCACAATAAGAGTCATCAGAGTGGCCACGACAAGGATAAAGCCAGCGTACATCAAACCCCAGGAAAGCCTGCCCAAGAAAACACAGAAAGACAAGTGCAATGCTATTACTCAGTCACTCCATTCGTTCACTTACTAAGCAAATGGATTTAAGAGTGTGTGACTTATCAAGAGTTTCTCTTGAAAGAGGAATTTGTAACAAATCAGAACTTCCTCATCCTAAAGCTTGTATTCTATAGAGAAAGGTAGATAATAAGCACGCAAATGTGCACAAGCATACAGCTGCCCGAATTAACATTGTCAGTTTGATAACCAGAGCCTTCTGAACAGAGAATCCTCAGTTGCCTAATCTGTGTGGCATGATCTTATTGAATGATGCAGAATGGCCCAGCCCACGCTTCCTTCCCTAGATAAGTGGTCCTACATAAAAAAGCTTGCAAAGCACAAGCCAGAGGGCAAGCCACAGAGGGAGCCAGCAAGCAGCATTCTTCCATGGTTCCTGCCTCTTGGTTCCTATCTTGAGTCCTGGCCCTACCTTCCCTCAGTGATGAACTATAAATATAAACCAAATAAATCCTTTCCGTCCCAGGTAGCTTTTTGCTTATCACAGCAGCAGAAGGAAACTAAAACGGTGCTAAGAGCAAAACATAGAAGAACGTGAACTGGACAAGAACATGAGTAGAATGAAGAGGGGTTCTTAAGAAGAGTTTTTAGGAAGAATCTGTGTTGCTTTTTCAGTTCTATACAGCTTTATTCAATAAGGAAATCACGGAAGCAATGTGGAGAGACATATTGCCCATATTTAGGCTTTGCAAGCCAAATAGCCTTTGCTGAGTTGATGCTGTTTTCACAACACAAGAGCATCACAGGCAATCTATACACAATGCATGGCTACATTCCAATATGAATATATTTATTGACAATGCCAATTGAGTTTCACATAAATTTTTATGTCCCCTAAACTATTACTGCTCTTTTTGTTTTCTTCCCAGCATGGAAAGTGAAGCAGCCACTCTTGCTTCAATCAACTGCATAAAAGTAGTTTGGCAGCTGCTGAAGTAGATGTTTCTGTAGGAACACACAGAGCATAGCCATAGAGAATACAGACAGGGAGGTAGGTAGGTAGGAGGAGGTGTATTTACCAGTAATGCCAAAGACAGAAAGGAGGTTTTACACAGGGTTCATTAATGTTATGGACTGGGGTTCAATTTTTTCCTGTTACATTACAAAAAAAAAAAAAAAAACATGTTAAGAAGCAGCTATTATTTAATTTCTTCAAATTTTAATTTCCTCTCCGGAAAAAGATTAGGGAATAAAGTTGGTAATATATCCGCAATGGGTAGCTAGTTTCCTTTCATTTATAGTAGAAAGTCCCATCAAGTTCAGGAAGCCTTGTTTCTCCCATCCAGTTTTAATAATTCCCTTTCACAGTACACTGTGATCACCTGAAACTATTCATTCATCTGCCTTCTATAAACTTCTTAATTTCACTCAAATAAAATATCAGAGCCTATCCTCCAGGAAGAAAAAAAAAAGCCCTAATATTTTCAATCCCTCCTCACTAGATTTTTTAAAATATATTACTCTGCACTGGCTCTTCAGAGTTTTTCAACATCTTTTAAACTATAGTGAACAAATTCCCTTCAATACTGAGAATATCATTTTAATACACAAAGGGACAAAAGAAAAAATTTGCATTGTGTCAAGCCTCCCGTGTCTTTTCTTTTATAAACAATATATTTATTTATTTATTTTAAATTATGTGTATGTGTCTCTGTGGGTGGATGTGGGATTGTATGTGCGTTTTCGTATTTGCCTGTGGCGGCCAGAAGCATTGCCTCCCCTGGACTTGAACTCACAGGCAATTGTAGGCTATCAGATTTGCATGCTGGGAACCAAACTCTGGTCCTCAAAAGCATCATGTGTCCATCTTTCCAGCCCTATCTACTTTATTTCCACGCTTAGTATATTGAACATTATTTTAGAAAAAATAGCAAATTTGGCAGAAGTCAGCCAGTAAAATGTGTGGTCTTCCTATTCAACAGTAGAATAGGAAACTAGCACGTTCCTGGAGCTCTGCGTACTCTGCATACCATCATTAACACTAAAAACAACGCTTAGGTTTTCCTTAAGTCAAAGAAATAGAGAAGATTACAGTTACCAAGCATGTGAATCTGTGCATTTCCAACATTTATATGACTTAGCTTATTAAAATATCAAGTCTTAGTATGACATAAGCAAGCCTAAGGAGTACCCATAGTTAAGTTCTTCTGTTTACAAATGCTGGTTGCTTTATCATAGATAGGTGGTTTACCAGAAAGCAGACTCTCGAAGGCCCATCATGGCCATCAGCGCTGTAATGTATTGTCTTTCTTGGGTAATGTTGACTGACAAATAGTATATAAACGAAGAAAAAGAGATAATACAGAAGAAAATAAAGACATCAGTTGTAACTCCTCCTTGGGCAATAAAGGGTGGTATCTTCATATTTGAACCAATTACTGACATCAGCTCTTCCATCACTGAGTGATTTGTTGTGATCTAAGGAAAGACACCAATGAACAAATTATTAATCTAATTGCAACCTTGGGCTCTTTTCTTCAAACTGTAAGAAGGCATCAGCTTGTAGCTCTCAGAATACCCAAAATTCTTCCTTAAGTCCTTCCGTAGAGGAAAAATTTTTACTTGTTTTTAAAACTAACTGGAGTAACACTTCAAACTAGATCATCTTTGGACTTTTTAATCAGGGAGGCTCTTGTTTTATTGGTTCAGCAGCACATGATTCAATACCCCCAACAGGCCCTGAAACCTTATGATGACTGTGTATCATATCTCTACATCAGCATTACCAGGATCTCTGCTTTAAAGTGACTGTACTGTGTATTATTTTCAAGTCACCGGTACCCTCACACTGCAGCCCGGATACATAAGCTGTTTGGTATGTCATGCTTAGTGGCTAAAAGCAAATAAACAAGGAAATAAGACAATCCGTATACAATGCATTTAGTTCCCTTTAACCTAATACTCACCTCTATGATACCAGCATTAATGGCAGCTTGAAAGGCTACAAAGCCTTTTTCCCAAAAGATTGAGTTTTCACAAATCATTTTGTTGTCAAATCGTTCACAAGGAGCTTAAAAGAGAAGAAGAAACAACCACTATTATGTGATCAGACAGTCTTAGTTGTGGGATAATTAAAATCTCTAATTCTCCAAACTGTGTTTAAAATCTATAATAATACAGTATATGGTATTTTTTTCATGTTGTAGATGAAAACCAAGGAGGACATACCAGAACTGCTGTGTCAACATTCTTTAAGATCAGGTCTTGATTATTTTTATTTTATTTTATAATTATTTCAATTTCAAAATGTTTTGTTCAGCTGTTTCCATCTATTGTTTATGAAAAAAACTCATTAATAGAAAACACTGAGCTATTTTTTAAATGAATGGGAATGATAGCAAGAGATTTTTTGAAGTTTTTAACTAAAAAGTACATAAATAACATCAGTTGTAACTTTCATGTTTTTTTGAGACAGGATCTCATTCTGTAGCTCAGGCTGTGAGTTCTTAATGGAACAATGAAGCTAAAGCATGGAGGCTCATTTAAAAATACTGAAAAATACTGAAAGTAGATTTACTACACACAAAAAGCTATCTAGCTGGAGTATATGCCAGAACTCTGGATCAACATACCACAGAGGTTCTTGAACACCTCTGTTTACTGCAGGGCTAGCCACACTGCTGAGGTTCAGAGCCTGCCCAGGCATCCATCAGCAGACAGTTGGGTACACTTACATACAATGAAGTTTCATTCGGCCATAAAAAAAGAGTTGCTCTTGCTTGCATGAAAATGGATACAAAAGGAGGTCATCATAATAACGAGTCAAACTCAGAACAAATTATCCTATTTTTCCCTCATTATTTTTTATTGTATTTTATAATCACTTCAATTTTAAGATGTCCTCTTAATTATCACATAGATCCTAGATTTTATGTAAATACATAAAACCACACGCGCATATATGTGAATGTCATGATTGTAGAAGAAGAACTGAATGGAAATAATAAATGAGACAAGGGAGAGGGTGGGTAAATATGGCCAAAATATAGTATAAACTTGACTGAATCTGTCTTCATTACAAGGAATATAAATGAATAAAGTTATAGTTCTTTAAAAATGAGTTTTTTTTTAAAATAAGGATCAAGAGTTAACATAGGATTGTGTCGTTTATTTCACTTCTTCCGTTACATGCCCTCTGACTCATGACATAATAGCAATAGCTACATTGATTTTTTTTTTTTTTCTGACGCAAAGTTACCTGAATGGTCTTTGTGTTCTTTCATCTTAGGGATCCTCTGACCCCAAGGAAATTTCAAATGATATGAGAACGTATCCTTAAAGATGACTCTCACCTCATCCATTGGGTAATCTAAATGAACTTTATTCATGCTTTCTTCATCAGGACATGCCACGATTCTTTTTCCTGCCATGTGAATAAAGGGGATAGTTGAATACGATTCCTATATGGCCCAATGACAGCATGCCTGACTCAGGTGCGCTGCTGGCATTTTATGTTCAAGTCATTTCTTCCCTAATACGCTCACACTTAGGATGAAGTGTGAAGTTTCTAATGTCCTAATCAAACCTGAAGTGTTCTGTGGCAAATAGCCTTTTTAAAAAGGTGTATTTTCTGTATCTATTCCTCAGTTGAGGGACAAGAAGGTTGTTTTCAGATTCTGGCTATTACGAATATAAGCTGCTATGAACATAGTCGAGCAAATATCTTTTTTGTAGATTTCAGCTTATTTTGGATATATGCCTAGGAGTGGTATAGCTGGATCTTGAGTTAGTACTGTTCCTAATTTTTGGAGAAAGAGCCAGATTGATTTCCAAAGTGGTTTTCCCACCAGAAATGGAGGAGGGTTCCCCTTTCTCCACACCCTCTCTCTCCAACATGTGTTGTCACTTGAGTTTTTCATCTTAGCCATTCTGATGGGTATAAGGTGAAATCTCAGGGTTGTTTTGATTTGCATTTCCCTGATGACTAAGGATGTTGAGCATTTCTTTAAGTGTTTCTCTGTCATTTGATATTCTTCTATTGAGAATTCTTTATAGAGCTCTGTACCACATTTTTTTTTATTGGATTACTTGGTTTGCTGGTGTCTAACTTCTTGAGTTCTTTATATACTCTGGATATTAGCCCTCTGTCAGATGTAGGGTTGGTGAGATCCTTTCCTAGTCTGTAGGCTGTCATTTTTTTTTTCTGTTGACAGTGTCCTTTGCTTACTTTGCAATTAAAAACAAGGAAATCATGAAATTTGCAGGCAAATAGATGGAACTAGAAAAGATTATCCTGAAGGAGGTAACCCAGAAGAAGAAAGACACACATGGTATACACTCACTTATAAGTGGATATTAGACATATAATATAGAATAAACATACGAAAATCTGTAGTCATAAAGAAGCTAAACAATGAGGACCCTAGTGAAGAGGCAAACAGAATAGACATCAGAAGTGGGAAAAGACAGTGAACAGGACAGAAGCTACCACAGGGGGCCTCTGAAAGACTCTACTCAGCAGGGTACTGAAGCAGATGCTGAGACTCACAGCCAAACTTTGGGCAGAGTGCAGGGAGTCTTACAAAAGAAGGGGGGATAGAAAGACCTGGAGGGGACAGGAGATCCACAAGGAGAGCAACAAATCCAAAAATCTGGGCCCAGGGGGACCTGAAGAGACTGATGTCCCAACCAAGGACCATGCATGAAGAGGACCTAGACTCCCTGCTCAAATGTAGCCCATAGGCAGCTCAGTCTCCAACTGGACTTCCTAGTAAGGGGAACAGGGACTGTCTCTGACATGAACTCAGTGGCAAGCTCTCTGTTCACCTCCCCCTGAGGTGGGGGGAGCAGCCTTGTCAGGCCACAGAGGAAGAGAATGCAGCCAGTCTTGATGATACCTGATAGGCTATGGTCAGATAGTAGGGGAAGAGGTCCTCCCTTATCAGTGGATTAGGAGAGGAGCAGAGGGGGAGAAGAGGGAGGGAGGGTAGAGCTGGGAGGCGATAATGGAGGGGCTACAGCCGGAATACAAAGTGAATAAATTGTAACAAAAAATAAATCAATTTTTTAAAAGGTGTATTTTTCTTGTGTCTGAATCTTTTGTCTATGTGTGTGTATGTGCGCCACATGAGTGCCTGGTACCAGAGGAAGTCAGAAGAGGGCTTCAGAGTCCCTGGAATTCGTGTTATGCATGGTTCTGAACTATTATGTGTGGCTGGGAATCAAACCCAGGTCCTATACAAGAGCAACAAGCACTGTTTATAACTGAACCATCTTATCCAGCCGTGGCAGATACTCTTACTGAAAATATGTCATGCCTCTCTAAAGAAATTAGCCAATAAGTTAAGCCACATAAATTTTAAACAGTAGCAATATTAAACCATCCATTTCAATGCACACACAGACAGACTTGTCTGATAACAGAACATGCTATTTCCATTTGCCGACACTGCCATGTGGCCAAATAGATAAAATGATATGCAATTGTTAAATCTAAATACTCTTTAATTACGTGACCATTTGCTCTAATTCACATAATGTAAATGGCTTCTATTTATCACAGGCCAGACAAGCCACACACTTTTTTTTTTGCAGTCTGGATTTTATTGTGCTGCAGATTTCCTAAAGTTCAATAGCTACATCAGTGGCTTAATGGGACTCAGGTCTGAGCCTTTTTGCCAGCCTACAGGAGGTGATGTGTTGCTAGATTAGAGGCTCATGCCTTTTGATGGTCTCTTTAGGAGCTGTTAGCTGCATCAACGCTGAGTAACTAGATCCAACGATTCAGTGGGCATTTCACGGCTGCGAAGTCCTATTTCTATTTTTTTTTTATTTGCTAGTAAAAAACACTTACAAAGCAATAGTTTCTATTGTCTATTTAGTTACATAATAATAGCATAGTTCACATAAGGTTCATGCCACTATTTCCTTTTAACTTACAAATTTTCATTATAAGAGCTCATTTTATCATCTTTCAATAAAAATAAATTGGCTAAATATTTTTTCTACCTCATTATGAAAATATGGGATTAAAATGTCTATTTGTTTAGCTCTTCTGGATCCTCACTTGTGTAGAAGCACTGTTTATGCCAAACTGGCTGCCAGGTGCCTTGACTGGTCAGTTCCTGTAATTTCTTGACTATCTGGAAAGACAGAAATGCTCACACCACACAATTCCTATCCTACACCATTGACTCTCCTTTCTTCCACACTGAGACTCCTTGGTTTCAAGGTTTCCGAGAGAGAGTGTGAGATGACTCCCTGGGTGTCTATCTAAAACCTCGGAACTGCATTCTGGGACTGTCCTGCTGACACAATTACTAAAATCTGTTTCATTTGCTGCCGTGTGGACACTCATGTGGTTTTAAAGGGAGTCTCTTCATTCACTCTCAGATTGAATATCCACAGAATCTTCCCCAAACCATACATTTAAATAACCCAGGTCTCATCTCACTTGATATGCTTTACAAAGAACATTAACCCCTCTTGGATGCACAATTGCTCAAATAGGTTACTGGAGTGATATCTCCTTCTTTGTATCAGAAAATAATACCCATAGATGTTGTTAATCAACTCTAGAAATGCCAGCATTCAACACAATTTTTCCAAAAAAAAAAATCCTAAAATGAATTTGTGAATGCTTAAAGTAAGAAAATTATTCCATGAACTGCCACAGAACATACCTTTCATGAATGGAATTGACGCCACTTTCTTCATTATCTCCTGGGTGGCTTTGGACTCAGGAGCATATTCAATAACATAGTAAGAATCATTAAAATTATCAACACGTCCCATATCCATTTCAGGCATTTGAGGAGCATCATGAATTTGATGTAAATTGGAGGATAATCGGTATACAAAGAATATTAGAAAAAATGAGAAAAACCATTCCTACAAAGCAATAAAAGTTAAAAAAAAAAAAAAGAAAAGAAAAAAATAATCAGGAGATTTTTCTACCACAAAGAATTGAAACAATTCCATCCTGTTATACACCTTGCATTCCATTTGTTCTCTCCCATTTTAAAGTGGTTGTTATTATATTTGTTCTCTAAAGATCCATTTTATTTATGTGCACAAGCGGTATGTCCTCATGTATGTGTGTGTCTGGTGCCTGCAGTGCACAGAAAAGGACACCAGATCTGGGATGAGAGCTAGCAGATGACTGTAAGCAATGATATGAGTGCTGGGAATAAAACCCAGGTCTTCTGCAAAAGCGTCCAATGCTTTTAATGACTGAGCCATCTTCTTCAGCTCCTACTTTTATCCTTTCATCTGGACATTTTGTAACATGTGCACTGTTCACCAAGACAGAGTTGTGACAGCAGCTCCAGTTATAACTGAGAATGTTTTCTTGTTCAACAGTGCAAGGCCAGATACTTGTTAAGTCTAAAGAGAGTCTCTTCAGATAAGCATGGTTACATGAGTGGACCACTCATTCGTATTTGAAAAGGAAGGTGGCATGGAACAGGTAGGCACTTCCATCAACAGAAGCAGGGTCTGACATTGCTCTTCAGCTGCCTACACATAGAAGAAGCGGCAAAATAATGCTCGTCAAAAATAATATCAAAGTTCTTCTTTATTATGGTCACTGTATTCTGGAACTAGAAATACGCCGGGATGTGTTTTAAGCCCAGTGCAAAGAACTCATATTACCATGTTATTTTTAATTCAAAGAGGGAATTCTAAATTCAGTGAGTCACATATACACATACAAAAGAAACATGAAAGTAGAAGAGGGACTTATGATATGAAGGATTCCAGTGAGAGGGCAATGAAGATTAAGAGCAACTAAAAAAATCATTATATAAATGCGTGAAACTATCAATTATAAAAAGTCACTTAATGTAACACATTCATAATACACAATTTTAGCTGAGGGTGTGTATGCATGTGTATGTATACATAAAGTTTATTTTAAAGGAGTTAAAAGTTTGGAAGTACAACAATTACTAAAAGTAGGTTCTCAGCTTCTATATTCGTATTTGTATGACCATTGCTTTATGCATAAAGATCTTGCATATTTTATTTAATGAAAAAATCTAAGCAATCATCAAATATTTCCTGGAAGAAACACACACTTCATAGAATAGGACATTAATTTTCTCACTTTTAATGAGTCATTTTAATTCATGTCTATCATAAATTCTGCAGAAAACATATCTAATCATTGTTAATGAAAGAGTATCATTACAATAAAAATAAAGGTCCAAATTATCATTTTGACTCCACTTATTTATAAGCACATTATTTCTTTTGGATTGACCTTGTAGGCACTGCATAACTGTTCAAAAGAAATATGGTTTACCTTCGGTGGCTGATGTGATATTTGCATACATCATGTGCAGTAGGACATTTTATCCATGTGTTGATGTAGTAATCAACACGATGATCACATGTGTATGTTTCTACAGTTTCATAATTTATTTGGGGTGGGTGAGCTTTTCCCTAGCAAAATACCATTATCTTTACAGAAACTATAGCGTTTTCATAACATTTTAATTATGTATGTGTTATTCTTAAATGTAAAGTTATATTCAATTATGGTGTATAACATGATCTTTCAATCGTTGTATGCTTTGTTAAACAGTGCTAATTACACTTGCCTGTTGCTTTTGTTATGAATAACATGATTGAATCTTTTTTGAACATGAAAAAAAACCAACAGACTATTATGGCACACACCTGTGTGCACATTTAGCTGGTAAACCGTCTGTGTGGCTGTAATCTGTCATTACTGTTACTTAGAAAGGAACGCGCTCTCTCGCTTGGCATGTATGACCACTCCATATATTCATGTCAATACGCAATAAATATTTGCAGAGCACCCATTGCGTTTCCCCTTCCTGCCCTGCAGCACTGGATATATTCAACCTACGTTCTTTCCTTAAAATCACTTTTTTTCATGAGACGTTTACCCGCGCTGGTGTCTAGACATTGAGTTTGCTTCCTTCTGTGTTTGAGAATACACACTGGTGTAAACCTCAATGAGTGAATTACTCTTGTCCTGTTGATGTCACATATAGTCCTGAGAGTTGTTTTGGGCATAGAAATATCAGGAGAGGGGAGAGTGCCAATAGCAGGTCTTTGTAAAAGGCTTTTTTCTTTTTTTTTTTTTTCTGCTTTTTCTTTTTACCCTTAAGTTATATTCTGGCTATGGACTAAAGTTTTTTCCCTCTGACATTGTCCTGAACTCCACGTCTATGCCTTCCTCGTGAGACCAAAATTAACCCAGATGTTAATTATTAACTCTGTAGTATAACAGTGCAGCTTCATTTTACAGGAAATTTCTGAAGAATTCTTTCAGAGATTTCTCTAATAAGATTTATAATGTTACTTGTTTTAAAATTTAATTTGGAAAAATAGTAGCAAACTTTGCTACTGGAATATATTTTAAAAAGCATTGGTTAATGACTGTGTTGGTATCACTGAGAAATTGTTTTTCCTTTTCTGAATATAAGAGCATGCGAACTCTGAGCCATACCATCAACGTTTCTCTTCTCATCCTGCATTTTCTGCACCAGTTCCTGCAGAGAAGAGCCCACAGTTGCTGACCCAGCCTTAAGTGTCTCTTCCTCATTTCGACTTATTTTTTAAAGGAAGTAAATGTGAAAGTCTGAAATAGAAAACATTGTGTAATCAAGCCAAAGAGAAACATTTTGACAGCTGTTCCTAGTTGCAAGCCCACAGAAGAAGAGTGCCAACTATAAAAACACAGGAAAGAGAAGATAAAATGAGAAAGAAAGATCTATTGAAAAAATAAAAGAAAGGAAAACAATTGAGAGAGAGTCTTTTCTTGGGTGAATGGCTTTTCAGAGACTTTAATAATGTCACATGCTGCTGTCCCCATGGGACTTGGCAGCTAAGCTGTCCAAGCTTGTTATTGCCAGATGGAGGTCTCAAGTTATGCTGTGAGTTAAGTTAGTCATTACTAATTACTAATAGTTATTGGCAATTACCAGTTACTACTCAGCAAAACCACTAGTCAGTTCTGCTCCTGGGCCTGTATCCCAAGATCCATGGGTGATGTGAAGTAAGGTTCTGGTATATGTTGGTCACTGTGACAGGGTGTTAGAGAACACACTTTTACAAACAGTATCCAAATCCAACTCTCTAGCAATCAGGAGCAATGGGTTGATACCCACAGCTCAAACATAAGAACTCTTAAATAACATGGTATCAATTAAATCTACTTTTTAAAAAAAAATGGATTATAAAGCAATATAATTTATGAGAATTCACACCATAAGCGATGCATATTTCTAAATACATCCTGGAACTAAAAAGATCTTTAACAAATACAATTTTAAAAGATTATCCTAAGCAGGAGGAAATAGGACTGGAGCTGGTGTGAAATGGGATTCATAAGTCAAAGGAAATTTAAAAAAAAAAAAAAAACAACAACAACAAAAAAGACAGGTGCTTTGTTTGTCATGAACTCGACAATGATTAACTCAAGCATTTATTCATACTTAAAGTCTGAAAAAAAAAATGTTGGGAAAACCACAGGTCCAGAGCATATAAATTCAAGGGACACAAATGGAAATTTTAGATGATTTCATACTGATTACAGTGTTTGTTTCACCAAACATGTAAATAAACTCCAAGTAATTATGTCATCAATAGGTTATGACAGTTGGAAACTCCAATTTAAACTAAACTACACTTTCAATTAAGAAACCAGTGCTGTGGCAAGCCATGGTATCTAAAAGCATAAATATGTATTGCCCAAGTGGCAACTCTTCTTTCTTAGATAAATAATATAGATGCAGGACAATATTCATGGATTAGAACAATTGTATAATCTAATTCTCATGCATTAGGTTATTTGCTCCTGGCTGATAAGACTTAATTATTCCATTGTACATGGTCATGTAAAATGCTGTCTGCTCTGGAAGGATAAAATATTCAGTTAGCTTACATTGTTCTGAATAGCAATTTGAATAATTTAAAAATAATAAATACTGGTTGTTAAAAGCCAGTAATTTCCCAATCAGAAAATATTTCTGCTGCTAAGGCAGAAATTGCACAAGTCAGATCATTTTATGTATTTAGTCTGATAAACAGGGTCAATAGAGTATTTCCTAAGTTTTCTTGATGAAATGTTCTCAGTTAAAACATGCAGTCAGTCAAAACAACTTAACACTCATAAAATCTTGTATTCCGGTGTTTATAACCCTCTGGCAGTAAAACCAAAAACTTATGCACTCGCGCACACACGCGCGCGCGCACACACACACACAGAGAGAGAGAGAGAGAGAGAGAGAGAGAGAGAGAGAAATTCAAATAACTTTGAAAACAGCAAGAGGAAAGCAAGCTACATTCCTTTCTACTTATCCTCTTGCCTGTTCCATTATATGTGCTGTTTATGCCAAAGGCTTTAGTCATGGGGTAAAATGGAAAAACCTTAGTTTTCCAACTGCTATTTAGCCATACTGTATAAAACACGCAAAGGTTTAAAAAATCAAAACGCCCTACTAGCAATTTCCTAACACCTAATGACTTCCCCAGAGGTGTTTGACAGGACTTTGCTGCCTTCACTTGTGGGGTCCATTTAAGTGCTAATAACCACAATTTAGAGGTTAACTTACTCCAAGGAGAGCTGAAGCAGGAATCTTCAAAAAGTCCATCCACAGATCTCTGTCCCGGAGGAGAATTCACGTTTCTTCGTTTGGATCACTGCTACGTCTTGGTTTTAATTGTGCTTTATAGGGAGCGGTTTTGTTTAACTCTGGTTTCTGGAGAGAATTCTTCAGAGTTCACAGTGACTGCCAAAGAAACTGCTCAGAGGGTGACTCCTGAGCTGTTCTCTTCTCTCGCTGCCCTCGCCGGTTTCTCAGCAGGGAATTTGTGGTTGCAGATGGTTGGCTGGACATATTGGAAGGTTCGCAACTACCAAACCAGGAAGAAGCTGGGCTTTAACATTTTTTTTTTCTTCAGGTTAGACCTCAATAGGAGAGTTGACTTTCAACGGAGTACTTTAAACTAAAATCGTAAAAGACCAGCTTGGAAAGGACAGAGCAGAAAAGAATTTCCTAAATTACAGAAATAAACAAATCCAAAATGATGGTATCTCAAAGCCTCCTATAATTTTTTTAAAAGCTGGATCTACACATGGCAATGAAGCAATGTGACTATTTTCAGGGTAACAGGATAAATCTGAATTTTCACCTATATCTCAGTAGCATTGGGTGTATGCTATTTGCAACCATCATTCTTATGGAGATTAGAAAGCATAATATTTAGAGAGATGTTGTATCCTCAGACTGGGGAGAGTTTACTCACCTAGTAAAGTACTTACCTAGCACTGGAACTGAGTTTGATTCCCAGAACCCAGGTAAAAATGTCAGGCGTGTTGGCTTGGGAGCTAAATTCACAGAGCTGGAGGGAGAGAGGCTGCAGGATCCCTGGGGCTTCCTGGCTAGCCAGTTTAGCCTAATTAGTGAGCTGTGTCCAGGCCGACAGGAGACATTGTCTCAAAGGAGGTGGACAATGTTTCTAAGGATGGTAACAAAGGTTGTTTTCTAGCTTTTATTTGAAGCATACTGATGTGCAATGTACCAACACAGACAGAAAGAGAGAGAGCGCAAGAAGAAATAGAGACACACACAGAGACTGTGAGACAGAGACAGAGGGTGGGGGAGGAAGTGATTAGCTGTTACATTAACCTCAGGGTCCTGGAAGCAAGTTTCTCTGTATCCACGCACTGGTTTTCAGTATGTCCTGTTCTTCATGCTGTCAAATGTTTACATCAGGAAACTGACTAAAAGATCATGAAGATCTTGCGTGCATGGAAGACAAAGCATCACATGGATATTAACTATTCCTTCACTATCCATTCAAGCATATTTACTTGTTTGCTAATTATATTAGATCCAGAAATTTCTCAGCAGCGTCTGTAGAAGCAGACAGAACTCATAACCCGTGAGAACAAGTCCTCTGTTTGTTTCTCTATGCCTGCTGCCTTCAACAGTATGCACATTAGCACATTTAACAACACTCTAACATTTTGTGCACAGACACCATAATTTAGGAATTGTCTTATTTCTTAGTAATGAATAAATTCCCTCTTTCCTCAGATCCAGGTCAACTGCATATATGTAGGTTTTGTCTGATATCATCCTTAAATACACACACACACACACACACACACACACACACACACACACACACACA